ACCGTAGGTTCGACACTCTGCTGCAAACCACAAAGTCAGCAGTTCAAACCCACTAGCTGCTCCTCACAAACCCTATACAGGGTCGCTATGAGTCAGAACCAAGTTGATAGCACTGAGCAACAGACAATAACAAAACAACATTTTGGCACCTTCAAGGAACTCAAATCATGTTCGTTTACAATATTCTTTGAGTTTGTGGAACATAAAGAAATATGAAGAGACAAAATCAGGGCTGTAGGGGGGATGGGGTAAGGCTTCTCAATGAAATTCCCCTAGTACAGCTTTTGCTACCCTCAAAGAATGAGCAGGTGCATTGTTATGATGGGAAAAAAAATTCCTCTGTGCAACTTTCCTGGTCTTTTACTCAACAATGCAGTTTTCCATTTTCTTAGAACTTCTGTGTCCTACAAGAACATCTATCAATATTACCCCTTTAGAATCCCCAAACACAGACACCATAACCTTATTAACTGGTCTCTATCTGGAATTCAACTGGTCCTGCAGAGTTCCTTGGAAGCGACTATTTAAATTGGACCTTAAAAAAAAACAAAACTCTAATGAGACTTTGGTGTTGCTGTTAAGTGCCACTGAGTCAGTTCCAACTCATTTCGGCACTGTATAGGGTTTCCAAGGAGCAGCTAGCTGGTGAGTTTGAACTGCCAACCTTGCAGTTCTAACTGACCTTGAAGTCCAGCGCATTATCCCACAGTGCCACACCAGGGCTCTTAATGAGACGAGGAGAAACTTATTACTGGGAGAACTTGTCTGCAGTTATCCACTGATTGAAGAGACATGTTTAAACATGTTTTGTTTGAGATAAATCTGTATATGTAAGGACTGGAGCCCTAGCATCAATACATACTGATGTAGTCTCATGTAAGTAAGTAGGGTAAGGAGCTCTGGTAACCTATTGGTGACGAATCGGGCTGTGAACTGCAAGGTCAGCAGTTCAAAACTACCAGCTGTTCCACAGGAGAAAGATGAGACTTTCTGCTTCCATAAAGATTTACAGCCTCAGAAACCCTGTACAGGGTTGCTATGAGTCAGAACCGACTCCATGGCACCTAACAACAACAAGAAGTGAATTATGTCAGGAAGTGTGTTGGAAATTGATGAGTGCTATGGAAAAATAGAAGGGGAGTGTGGGAAGGGGAATGCAAATGCAAAAGCTGAGGATGACATGTCAGGACTAAATAGAATGGCCAAGATAACCTGGTAGTGGGATCTAAGAACAGACTTGAAGGAAAACCAACTCCTGGCATATTTTGGAGATGCTGTAGAGAAAGCAGCCAGTTTAAAGGCCCTAAGATGATGGTAGCCAGTGACTGAGGCTCTCAGAGAACAGTGAGAAAGCTAGCCTGTCTAGAGAGAAATGAGCAGGGGAGCAATGGTAGGAGAGAGCCAGAGAGGTCATGTAGCAGCTAGGAGTCTACTATAAAGAGTTTGGCTTTTACTCCAAGTGAATTTGAAAACTCTGGGAGCCATGGAAGGTTTTGAGCAGAGGACTGACAAGATCTGACTTCTGTCACTATTGTGTTGAGAACAGACTCTATGTGGGTAAGCGTGGAAATAGGAAAATCACCTGTTTTGTGATCGTATTAATGTAACAGTAGTGGTGATGATGCTGGATTGGATATATATATTTGTAAGTAGAATCAAGAGGATTTTCTATGAGGTAGGTGAGAGACGTGTGCCAGGAGGTTAAGTTAAGGCTGAAATGGTCTATAAGACAGACAGCACATAGAAATGTCAGGTAGACAACTGGATGGGCAAGTGTTCACTTTGGAGGAAGAGGTTCAGACAGGATTTAGAAATGTGGGAGTAATGAGTATATGTTGTTGTTGTTAAGTGCTTTTGAGTTTATTCCAACTCATAGCAACCCTGTGCAGGATTTCCAAACAGTGGCTGGTGAGTCTGACTCGCCGACCCTATGGTTCAAATCAACCTTGTGGTCCAGTGCTTGATGCTGCAGCACCACACCAATGAGCACATGGATGGTATTTAATTATTGAGAATGTATAAGACCACCAAGGTAGTTGTTGTTAAGTGCTATTGAGTAGGTTCCAACTCATAGCCTCCCTGTATAGTGTTTCCCAGGAGCGGCTGATGAGTTAGAACTTCCAACCTTGTGTTTAACCTACAGTGCCACACCAGGACTCCAGCCAACGTAGTAAGGGGACATAATTAAGATGATGGTGTGAGATGGATCCCTGAGGCACCCCAATGTGGAGATGACAGAAGACGTAGAGGATTCAGCAAGGGAGAAGCAGAGGAGGGGCCACAAAGACAGACGGACACCCCAGGGAGTACAATGCTCCAGTAACCAAGACAAGGTCTCTAATTTCAAAGTGGAGGTCAAAAGATGCCAGAGAAACAACCACTGGATTTTACAATATGGAATTTGTGAGGGATAATGACAAGAGCCATCTGTTTCGATGTTGTTGTTAAGTACTGTCGAGTCAAATCCGACCTATAGCGACCTTGTATAGGGTTTCCGAGGAGCAGCTGGTGAGCTTGAACCACCAACCTTGCAGTTCAAACAGCTTTGTAGTCCGGCATATTAACCCACAGCATCTAAAACCTAATTGTTGTTGTTGCTGTTGTTAAAGTGCCCTCAAGTCAGTTCCAATTCATAGTGACCAATCCAAACTCTATAGTGTTTCTGAGGAGCAGCTGGTGGGTTTGAACTGCTAACCTTGTGGTTTGCAATCCAATGCTGATCCTACAGTGCCATACCAGGAGGGTGGGTGTAATAGAAAATGGTAGAAAATAAATGAAAGACTGCAAGCATAGATGCCTGTTAAAGTTGTCTTTAAAGGGGAGCAAAGAAACAGGTCAGATACAAAAGGAGAAAGTGGGATCAAGAGAGCTTATATTTACATTTTATGTTTATGGGAATCTTCCAGTAGAGAGGGAGCTAATGTTTGACAACTCAGGAAAGAAGGGGAAGCGTGTTGTTAGAGCACACCCACCAGTAGGTGGAGACAGAATTTAGTACACAAGGGAAAGCAAACACAGAGGAACAGATGTGGCAGGTGGGTAGATGTAAGGAGGTAAGTCAGAGGAACTTAAGTTCTGAGCTTCTCATTTACTTCCTCAAGTAGGGGAAGTATGGACTTAGGGTGGGCCTGGCCTACTGAGGAAAGTCCACTCGGTCAGCCCCACTATCACATCATGAGGAAAGGCTGTTCTTCATTGTATCTATGAAGGATCTAAGAAGAGATATGCAGCTAAGTTCTGTAAAGCCCACAGATAGTCCAAATTTCCAACTGCCCATTTTCTTCTCAGCAGTATATCCATTTACTCTCACCCAGCATTTTCTCTTCACTCCTAGGTGTTTTTCTAGGTACTTTCTGAATTTTACATGTATTTTTTAAGTGAAGAAGAAAATGCACAGCAAGTTTCCATGTACAAACCAAAATCTGAATTCTAGTCATGTTTCACAACTAATAAATCATAGGAACTTAGTAACGTCTAAAGGAGCTCTGGTAGCGTTGTGGTTACGAATTGGGCTGCCAATCTCACGGTCAGCAGTTCAAAACTACCAGCTGTTCTGTGGGAGAAAGATGAGGCTTTCTCCTCCCATAAAGATTTCCAGCCTTGGCAACCCTGTACAGAGTCGCTATGAGTGGGAACCGACTCCACACACATAACAACAACAACAGTAATGTCTAAGCTCACAGAGCCCCATTTTCTACATGAATCTTACTCACATCATTTGTATGAATAAGTCAGTAATTTGAAAAGTTTAATAAATGATGCAAAGATCTTATATGTTAATTCATATTGTCTCCTCCATGTTGTCCCTATTCTTAATGCCACAATGACACAAGTAAGCATACATCATAGATGACTACAGTGGCACAGTGGCTAAGCATTGGGCTTTAATGGTAAGACTGGTGGTTCAAACCCATCAGCCACTCTGCAAGAGAAAGAAGAAGCTATCTGTGGAGGGAGCAGTTCTACTCTGTCCTAGAGGGTGGCTGTGAGTCAGAATTGATTGGATGGCAGTTGGTTTTCATTTGGAGTCTATGAGTAATGCCAATGACTAACGCACTTGCTTTTAACATAAAGGCTGGATGTTGACTCTGTCCCGAGGTACCTCAGAAGAAAGGCTTATTTCTGAACCAACAGCCATTGAAATTTCTTACTCTGCTCTGCCATACATGCGGCGGCCTAGAGTCAGAATTAACTCAAAAGCAATTTTTATTTTTGTTTTATATGGATACGCACACAGTATGGAGTTCTGGTGTGACACTGTAGAATGAGCACTAGACTGCTAACTGCAAGGTCTACAGTTCAAACACATCAGTTACTCCTCAGAAACCTTATAAGGGTCACTGTGAGTCAGAACTGACTCAATGGCACTAAACAACACACATGCAGTATCTGAGAATCTGTCTACTTCAGCTTAAATTTCAATTACCTTAAACATATATACATTTGTGAAATCCATCCGTCAATTTGAACTAATTGATACCTTTGCTGTTGCTGAGTGCCATTGAATTGGTTCCGACCCACAGCGACCCTGTATAGGGTTTCCGAGAACAGCTGGTGAGCCTGAACCGCCAACCTTGAAGTTCAAATGGCTTTGCAGTCTGGCGCATTAACCCACAGTACCACACCAGGACTCCTTTTATAACCATATTTTACTTAAAATCATCCAGGAAAACAAAAAGTTCATTTGTTTTCATTGTCAATCTGGGCAAGGGGTGATAAAAAGCTTTAAGGTCAAGGCAGTCATGCTGAATAAAAGGGCAGGGGCCATTTTTTACTGTGCGGGGTCAGGGCTGAACTCAAAACTCTCTCCCTGTCTCAGAAGCTATTATGGAATTTACAGCCATCACCCTGGCTGGCTGCCCATCACACAGCTGAACAGCATGCCCAAAAAATAACATCTGGGGAAAAGGCTTCAAAATCATTGTGAAATTCTCATTGTTTTCATTCTTCAGATTTGAAAGATGATTTTTTAAAAAAGAAAAGAAAAAGAAAAAACTCACCCAGCTGTTACCATGATTCATATTCCAATAGCCTCCAGACTGCTAGAGGCCACCTGGTTGACTTTCGCCTTGGAGTCGGTCCAGGAAAGCATTATTTACCCTTTAAAACAATGAAAAATGTGTGTAAGTGGAGAGCTGGCTGCAGAGCTGAGAGATTTTTGAGAATCTAATGTACTGCATGCACTGACTGTGGGAATTCTCTCTTCCTTCAGCTTACAAGAAATCTGCAGAACTTCTCACATTCACCATATGACATGCTATTAGCAACCCCTTACGTCTTGACTCAGGCCAAAGGGGGCACAAATGTGCAACTTCAGAGTTGTACTCACCCATCTTCTACCAGTTCAGCAAGAGTCCCACTCACCTCGGCAACCCCCGATGCTGAGGCAAGGGGAAAGCTTCAGCAAGAACCAAAACATGTGGCACTACTGCCAGTCTTGCTAAGGCAAATGACGTAAGTGAAAAGTTGAAGGACGACAGGGAGAAAGCGTAGGAAAAGGGAGACGTCAGAAGAGGGAAGCCCAAACTTGCAAACATTCTGTCATATTTTCAGGAACTAATTTTAGGGGGAAAAAATGTCAACATAGAGAAGATACAGCTATCAATAAAGGTAAGAAAGTGATTATCATAAAGGTCAGAAGAAGGCTTATCTGCATGGTGATGCCTATTCTATTTCTTGATGTGGCTCCATGGGTATTCACTGATATGACGAGGGGGCACCCAAGTATACATCTCTGCCCCCAAATTCTATGTGGCTGGCTCTTGCTCACCACTCACATGTCACCTGCTCAGGGAGACCTTACTTGGTCACCACTAACTAGAATCACCCCCTCAACATCATCTTGTATTATGGTCCACACAGACTGTATTGCCATCTTGAAATCATCTTGTAGTTCAACTGTTGATTCTTTATTTCCTTCCTCTACACTGTCATTTCCATGAGGTTTGGGTCATCTTTTGCCTTGTTTACCCTTCTTCCCAGTGCCAGAACAGAGTCTTTGCAGCGTGCGCCACCCTGATGCCATAATTGTTGAATGCATGAGACATACCTGCACATTGTCCCCAATCCTGCCTGCTGCTGAGACTAGAGCTGCATAGTGAGGACACCAGTGCTGGTGACTGCAGACTGCAAAGTAGGTCATTGTCAATGGCTCAGACTGGCAGCAGACCATGAGTGCACAAGGAGTCACCTTGGAGCATCAATTACTGAGGCAAAACCAGAATGGTTAAGGTTCCTTTGGTACTTTGAAAGTGTCCACAACTTGTGTATGCCCACTGCAATATGAGTAAGCTAGAGATGAGGCAGGGCAAAGAGATTGTTTCTCTCAAGTCCTGGAGAACTCAAAGAGGTTGGGGAAGTATCAGCTTTGGGGATGATGCAGTGGGTTAAGCATTGGGATGCTAACGGAAAGGCTGGTAGCTGAAATCCAGCATCGCCACGGGAGAAAGATGGAGGCTGCCTACTCCCATAAAGACCTGCATCCTCGGAAACCCTATGGGGCAGTTCTACTCTGTCCTACAGGGTCACTTTGATTTGGAATTGACTGGATGGCAGTCAATGAGCTTTAGAAAGTATATGTGTTATACTGTAGTTATACTAGTTCTCTGCATTTTCTTCTCAGAGTTCATTTGGATACTGCTGTTAAGTGGTATCAAGTTGGTTTCAACCCATAGCTTCTGAAGGACGGCTGGTTGAGTTTGAACCACTGACCTTGTGGTTTAAACTGACTTTGCAGTCCAGGGCATTAGCCCACAGAAAAACTATTACTCAAGGATGACCAAAGTTTCAGTAAATCAATTAGGTTCATTCCAATGTTTGAGTCCCTTCAACTCCTTGATCCCCTGCTCTGTCATTTCTATTTGAAGTTCCTACTTGCCTTTTGTCACTCAGAGAATCGAGTTCAGGAACACTCAAAACTTAGAGAATTCAATGAAAAGCTTATGAGAAATCCCACAAGCCCTCTGTTATAAAATTCAGGACAAGGTTTCTGCTATGTGGACTTCTAAATATGGAAGGCTTGTTACCTTTCAGAATCCAATAAAGTCATGCCTCTGGAGAGAACCTAATATATGTCCCCCAAATACATACTGCCTATCTCTGAGAAGAGACATACGAAGCTATTGTAACATTGAGATGTGATTATATTGTCCTAATGCTAACACGGGAGAGCCAATGGTAACCTCTACATGACAATGTGGAGTACTGGTGTGGTGATATGGGTTAATGCACCAGACTGCAAAGCCGTTGGAACTGCAAGGTCAGAAGTTCAAGCTCACCAGCTGCTCCTCATAAACCCTACACAACAACAACAATCGTAACATGGGAAAGTCAATGGCAACCTATACAGGACAATGTGAAGTCCTGGTGTGGTGCTATGGGTTAATGCTCTGGACTGCAAGGTTGGTTTGAACTGTAAGGTCGGTGGTTCAAATTCATCAGTCGCTCTTCTGAAACCATATATAGGCTCACCATAAGTCAAAATCGACTTGATGGCACATAACAACAACAGGACAATACAAACATGGGCACTTTTTAAAATTGACTGAAAATGTAAAGTATGTGTTTAAAGACTTGATCAGTTATTTCAAAGCTGACTAATAAATTTATCATTTACAGAAGCTTTGTCATGGATTAAATGTGAATCTATATTTAACAAGAGACCATAGAAAGTGAAGCAAGGTCTAAAAACTAGACAGCCAACCAAAATTTAGGTATTCTGCAGTATGGAAAAGATAGAGAACAAGGGTCAAGGTTTCTGTAACAAAACATTCTCCTTTCTACTTATCAGTAACTTGTGTTTTTTTGTTTTTGTTTTTAAAACTTGTGTTTTTATTAATGTTTAATGGGCCCCCAATAAAAACATAAGTTACTTGATAAGTAGAAAGGAAAATTATATATTTTAGAAATGAGTCCCTTGTCTGATGTTTCATTGCAAAATATTTTCTCCCATTCTGTGGGTTCCCTTTTTACTCTTGTGGTGAATGAAGCCTTTTGATGCACATAAGTTTTCAATTTTTTGTATGTCCCACTCATCTATTTTGTCTACTTTTATTTGTGTGGTTTACAAAATGTTTTGTAGTCTGTGTATTTCCTGAATTAGTGCCCTCACATTTGTCCATATTTTTTCATTGATGGCCTTCATAATTCTGGGATTCACATCTAGGTCTTTAATCCATGTTGAGATGTTTTTTGTATAAGGTGTGAGGTGAAGGTCTTGGTTCAGTCTTTTGCATATCACTTTCCAGTTCTGCCAGCACCATCTGTTGAAGAGAGTATCACCTCCCCATGCGATATATTTAGGTACTTTGTCAAAAATCAGTTGGCTGTATGTGAATCGGTTAATTTCTGGATTCTCGATTCTGTTCCATTGATCAATGTGTCTTTCATTGTACCAGGACCAAGCAGTTTTGACTACTGTAGCCATGTAATAAATTTTGAAGTCAGGGAGTGAGAGGTTTCCAACCTTATTCTTCTTCTTAAGCAGTGCTTTGTTTATCCTTGGTCTCTTTCCTTTCCAAATAAAGTTTGTAATTGTTTTTTT